TCTTTTAAAAGTTGAGAAATTAATTCTAAAATTTTTCATTTGAAAAATTTTGAAATGGATCTCTCAACTTTTGAGAGACTTTCATAATATTATATCAAGATTTATATTTTAATATTTTTTTTAAAAACTCATCTAGAAACCATTGATGTACATGCTCTAATATATTAGATTTGTATTTGATCACAAGTTATTCGTTTCACCATATATGATTTTTGTTTTGCGTTATGTGAATATTTTAATCAGAAATATAGAAAGATACTATATGTTAAATGGAACTTAGAATGGGTTCATGGAGATGATCAAGAAATCAGTTGAACTTGGTCATACCAATTTGGAACTCAGGGCGCGTGAGATTCACATTCGCGCGTGAGATTCACACGCGCACGTGACAATCTCGATCAGAAGTCGGGGGCGGGAGATTCACACGCGCGACGACTTAGCCCCAATTCCTCGCCGAACAGTCTTTTCCGTCTCTCATCGTCTCGCCTCTCCGGTGGCCGGTTTCTTCCGGCGCCGTGAGAGGGCCACCTCCTAGTGCTGATTGTTGTTTCGACGGAGCCAAATCTTGCCGGTTTGACAAGTTTTGCTTTGATTTTTGCGGTGAGTGGTCGGAGTCGCAGTGCATGACGGTCGCGTCTAGGTGTTGGGATTCTCTCCCGGCGTGTCTCTCTCGCTTGTCGATGACGAGCTACACCGACATAGAACAACTACAATCCCTCGCTTGCCTCACGTAATTTCGTCCAGCGTCGATCTAATTTTAGATCCTTCTTCTACCAAGCAATTCCGGCGCCGGAGAGACTACGAACGACGGTGGAGCGACGTCTGTTTGTTCGTTTGTCTTCTTCTCTGGTTTTGCGGAATTGGCAATTTCGACTCTTTGTGTTGAAATTTCACCGTGCCTCGTCTCCGCCTTAGGTGGTTTGGGCCTTTTCTCCGATGGGGGTTGCTGCTCGTGGACGGCAATGGCTCCAGAGGAGTGTCGCCTCTGTCTCCACCATTGAGGATCCGGGGTTGTCTACTTGGGGCCGGAACTTGGTGAGATTTCTGGTGGCCGCGATTCAGGAGCTTCTCCAAGCGTTTGTTTGTTGGCTTGCTCAGTCTTGTGCGCTGCTAGAGCCACGATCTCTTAGTTCTACTCCTTTAGAAATTGCTTCAGGGCAATGCTCTTGGTTGTTCTGTTTCGGGTTTCACATGTAGATGATTTGGCTCGTGGAGGGGGATGCTTCATTGTGGTTCATTCTCGTTGGGGACAGCAGCCGATTAGCCACTTGATGTCCCCTGGTGGAGCCACGAGTGTGAAGATTTCATCTTCGTTGATCTAAGGAATGGAGTTCCAAGTCCTACAATGTGGCCTCCTACTGATTTGGTAAAACTGCCGGTGGTGGTTATCTTATCATCTCTTTGAGGTGCTTCATTGTATACCTTGTCTTCTGGTTTGTGTTTTGGCCCTGGTGTTGCTTGTGGCTTGCTTTTGCCGATGCGTTGTAGTTGCTGTTTTTGCTTGCTTGGAGGTTGGGTTTGGTTGTTTTTGTTCTGTGCTATAGATGGCTTAGTAGGGTCTTTTGTGTTCATTGTGGTTGTTAGTGCTTTATCCGGCTTTGTACTAGCTGTGGTCCTAGGTAGGGGGAGCTAGCAATGTTCACGTTTATGGCTGTGAGGTTTCTCTTTAGGGCTAAGCTCATGGAATTGTGTTTCAACTCGATCTCACGGGACGCGAGAGGAGTACGTGATCGAGAGGTTGGAAGACTTTGCCGTTGACGACTCTTTTGAGAACATCATTTGAAAGGCTTCTGGCGCTGCGGAAACTAGCATTATCGGCTCATGAGGTTTGTTTAGCATCATCAACTCTTCCTTGGTTTAGGAAGGATAAACACATCGTCATCGCTTCGTATTGCTCCTTAAAATGTTTGTTTTAGGTTGAGCTACGGACCGAAAACTTGTATGCTTATGGTTTTCATGTTTTTTATCGTTTTTTGCCATGGAACCATTCCATAGGATTACGATCTCGATTGTATTCCTAAACCGATTCATGTTTAATGAAATATTTACCTTTTAGCAAAAAAAAAAATTTGGAACTCAGGGACTTCGAGCAAAATTCTATGGAACCGGTACATAAAGTTAACCGGTACCGGTAGGGTATGAATTGATAGAACAGAACAGTACCTAACAAGATTTTCATAAATGATCTTTGTCCCTTCTCTTACACAACATTGAAGTATTGAACAATCACTTTCAACATGATTGAGGTGAATGCTACAACCATTCAAAAAATCATATAATAATCACTAAAAAGGTAACAAACCCTTTTGAAAGACTATAATTAAAAATAAAAGTAATCCATCAATACATATATACATTTCAGATGAAAATAAATAAATAGAACAAATAATTGGATGCAAATCAATAAAGGCAATGCAGGTTTTAATGCAGGCTTTCGGCATCATATTAGTTATACACAAAGAAATTACTCTAAGTAGTTATCTACAAGAAAGAAACTACAGTTAGTTATATACACGAGAGTAATCTTTGGTTACTTGAAAATTCAGAATGGCTAATTATCATTTACTCGCAATATTACAAGAATGTAAAATTTAGACATTGGTAGTAACAGAAAATTAAATTCAAGTTTTACTCAAGTTTGTTTTTAAGTTCATAACTAAAATCTTCAACAGAAAAAACTCAAAATCCTTAAATTTACTCAAGTTTGTTTTTAAGTTCACAACTAAATTATTTTTAATCCCTGATCAAAAAGAAAAGAAACTAGAATATACTAAAATCTTTTATCTTAAAAAGACTCTAAATTTAGGATATGATTTTGGATAAAGAGACGACAAAAGAAGCGACTTCTTCGGACCCTTACTGCAATAAATGAAGCTAAGAGAAGAATTGTACATTCAAATCAAGATAGAAGAATCAAAAGGTATTGCTAAATATAGGATTTAGTCATATTAGAGTCTAATTAATAGCTTAACAAAAAAAAACTAATAGCTATATCATTGGTCAACGAAAAAATCAAATAAATTAGTAATCAAATTTCAAACACAAAGACAAACCTTTTCTTTCGGGTGTCTCGAGACGAAACACCAAGTTCAAAA